GGAATGTATAATTTGCCTAGGACTGCCATAACAAATTGCCACAAACTGGGGACTCATAACAACTGAAGTTTATTCTCTTACAATTCTGAAGGCCAGAAGTCCAAAATCAAGGTGTCAGCAGGGTTGATTCCTTCTAGAGGCTCTAAGGGAAAATCTGTTCCACCTCTCTCCCAGCTTCTGGTGGCTGCTGGCAATCCTTGGCATTTCTTGGCTTGTAGCTGCATCACTACAATTTCTACCTACATCTTCATGTGGCCTTCTTCTCTCTCTCTCTGTGTATGTGTGTGTGTGTGTGTGTGTGTATCCAAATTGCCTTCTCTTTTCTCTCATAAAGACACCATTCATTGGATTTAGGGCCCATCCTAACCCAGTCTGACCTCATCTTAACCTAATTACATGTGCAAGGACCCTATTATCACATAAGCAAGGACCCTATTATCAAATAAGGCCCCACACACAGGTACCGGGGTTAGGAATTGGACATATCTTTTGGAAGAACACAAATAAACCCACTACAAGCAGTAAAAAAAGCTCTGCTTCCTCTTTTGTTCTCCTTCCCTCACTCCCTTCTTTCCTCCCTCCCTTTCTATATTGGCTGAAGGCACAATTTAACCACTACACAGTGCAAAATTCAAGTCGTCAATGTTCATTGGACATTAATAAAAGCATACTCAGGAGGTGATGGGAGTGTTCTGTATATTGATTGTGGTAGTGGTTTCATGGGTATGCATACACAGCTGTCAAAACTCATCTATACAGTTTATTGTATGTAAATGATTCTTCAATATAGTTGATGAAAATATGTATACATTTACATACATACATACCCCAGGCACAATACCAGTTTTTTCCCCTCTCCCTTCCATACCCCACCCAACCTTGTCACCAGAAAAACATGGTGGGCAAAATAGGTACTCTTGTTTCCATTCAATATAGAGAAGTGAAGATTCTGGGGAAAAAACTAAAATTTCAGAGGGAAAAAACTCATATTATTTGGTTGCTTTTAAAGATTAGAAATATTGAAGAATGTTTAGATTATGAACATTTTAGAGTAACAGAATATCTATTAAAATTGTTTACATTCTTACATATTTCTTCATCCTCAAAAGTTCTAAAATGTATGCTATGGGAGATTTAAAAAATTAGTTTAAGTAGCTAGTGCAGCTGAATTATATACCAAGTTCAGATAAAATTAACTTATTTTGAGACGCTAAGTGCACCTTTACCCACAAAGATAGAAGAAAGTAAAACAAAGAAAAAATGCCATTGGCACATGGTATGTGTTCAAAAATTTTTATCATTTTTGAGCTTGGTTGTCAGCCAATTTATATTGGTAAAAGTTTCTTGAGATCAAGTTTCAAAACCCAAAACAAAAGGGATGATCATCGCACATTTAGGATTTGATGGTGGGAGATTCTTTCACGTGCTGCAGGTAAACAATAACCATTATTTGTTTTGGGACTGACCCTGAGACCTCACTGAGCACATCCATACTGCAACTTAGTTTAAGATTCTTAATCAGCCTTGCTTTTCACCTGCCCCAATAACTTGGCTACCATGAAAACGGAATGGTTGGCATTTAGAAATACTGTACTCTTACCAGCTAAATAAATAAACATGTAAGTGAAAGGGGTAGAAAAATGTGTCTACACCAAATTTTTGTTTTGTGAAATCCAGGAAAACATAAATGTGAAACACTAGAAAATGTAGAAAATCTTGCTAATATTTGCACAGAAAGTGAGAGAATGGACAGTGTTGCAAGAGGATTTTTTTGTGTTCAATGCAGATGTTGACATAGAGACAGGAATTTTTTTCTTTTCATTGAATTTGATATTTTTAAAGTCATAATTGGTGAGGGATGGTGAAATTAGGCACAGAGAATGGGGAAAAACTGGGAAAGATGAATAAAAATAGTCATTTGGGTTTCTGAATATAATGTTGGAAAAAAGTTGTCATGGATCTTGATTATCAACTAGATAGATATGAAACCTCAACTGGGTACCTGGAAGGGTCATGGTCCCAGTTTCGGGCAATGTGAAACTTATCCAAAATATTGTGCCAAAAACTTTCCTATTGGTATATAAATTTAATCGAAAACAAAAATTTCCTGTACTCAAAGACCCCTAGGTTTACCTTCACTGATATTCATCAATTGTAGTTTAAGTGCCGTGGCTGACTGTTATATTCATTCCGGGAGATTCTGGAATACGAATCTAAGGAAACATTCTTATTCCTGCTGCAAAAAAGTCCTAGTTTACAATAAAGAAGTAGTTTAGGCATGGGGAAGTCTTGCTATTTAATGTAATTAGCATTAAGTCCTATAAAAGTTCTCCACACATTTCTTATATATTCCACATCGTGCAGATTAAAATGTTGCCCCTTTTTCATGTTCCAAGAACTTGGAAGCAGAACCCTTGACTTCTATGGGCGAGTGAGATGCTGTGAACTGTTTACCCAGTAAGAACACAGAAATGATATCAGAGGAATCATAATCACTTTGAGAGACATAGGATGAAACAAAAATCAACGATGTTAAGAGTTAGGAGCCAATCAGATATAAGTCTGAAATATTACATGGCACTCAATCAGAAAGTTCAATATGATTTGGGACAATTTAAGCAATGGGATTATATAACAAACAAGGGGAAAATGGGATGCCTTAACCTGCAATATTAGACCTCAGGACTGAAAAGAAATAAGCAACTGGAGGGAATCCAGAGAAGATCATCTACAGTGATGGTTTTAAAGCAAAATATGAACTGTACAGTGTAGCCAAACCACACAGTCAGACCCAAGGGGCATGATAAAAATCTACAAATAGCTCGGGGGTCTAAACACCAAGGGTAAAGAGGAATTTTGGCTGCAGATATGAAAAGTTTCAAGGGATAAAGTTAAGGAAAGGGAAATTTAGGTTAAGCATCAGAATATATCCTTTGATAGTAAGATGTGTTTGTAGAACAGTCTCTCAAGGCAATAGAAATAATACTGATGAGTTTTCTAGGATCCCTGATAAAAGGATACCTTGATGTCAGTCCAAGGATTCTAGAAATTTCATTGGAATATTCTTGTGCCAAACCCAGATGAAATAGATAGTGTTAGGTTTTCTTTTTAAATCCTGAATTAACTATGATAATTATAATGGGGAATAGATAGTGAACAGACTGTTCTGCCCTTTAATAAAAGGTATCCTAAGGCTTTGATTAACTTATCATCTCAGAAAAAAAAAACAATAAACAAACATGGGCACTACTTTTCAATAGCAAATACCCTAACAGAGGAGCAAGTCTGAGAAATCTGGTTTTTCAAGTATATATACTTAAAACCATTTATTTCTAGACTACCAACTATATTGCTTCTGAAGCTTGCTGATGAATTATAGGAAGGATTCTGGAAATCAATGAACAAAACCACCATTTTTGAAATTGGTAAACAAAACCCATAGATCTTCTTTAATTGAATTTGGCATAACCTGGCAGTCAATCAGAAAGTCCACCATGAGTTGAGTCTACATAAGCAAAGGGATTATATAACAAACAAGAGTCAAATAGGATGCCTTAACTAGGAATGAATGAATCCACCATCACGGTGACTGCAATGTATTCCTAATAACAGGCTGAAAATCAAAATAGCTTAAAAAATATTTTAAAAGTCCAAATAATTTTCTTACAAAATCTTTCTATCCAGAAAAGCCACTACATGTCCCATGTGTTTTAAAAGCACACATACACTGAGTTTTTAAAAGGAGCCCCAGCTTAATTTCATGATTATTTAAAACAATTTTCATTGTTGGCAACAGTGAAGCAAGTTTCAGGCTAATGGAGGATCAGTCACGGTTGGAAACAAGATGATGAATTAACTGGCACATGTCTGCTTGAAGCCCTAGGAGTGCCAATGGAAGAGTCCCCTGTTCAGTGGATCTCTGACATCCATGACCAAGAATGTATGCCTTTGTGCCTAAAGGGCATTCATAGTAGCCCTACACAATCATGTCAGGGGTGCATTTTCAACCCTGTGGTAATCATATGGGCTTAGAGAAATAGAACTTATATGAATCATCAATTACATTTGCGCAACCACCTTGAGTTATAAGTGTTCCTGTGAAGTGTGACTCTGTTAACCATCTACTCCAAATGCCAAAATCCAACGAGGCATAACCACCCAATGAGGCATAACTATACAATGGTATCCCAGTGGTAGAGACATTAAGTGTTTTCATTACAAGTGACAAGTTAAACGGTATTGTTACTAAAGAAAGGACAAGCAAGACCCACCCACTTTTACTTCAAATGTGACTTGTATGAGGAGGGAAGAAAGCCAACACCAACAATCCCCCAAATGTAACTTGGCACGAGTAGTCAGGCCCGGAAGCAAGAGATCTTAAATGCGTGCCTCTTAGCAGCACACCTGATTGACAGCCACTGAAAATACTTAGGAGGTTCAGGGTGAGAAGAGATGGACAGCGATAGCTGGTGAGAAATTAGAATCTCCTTCTGTCTTCAGGCAGCAGATTAAAGCTGCTGGAAAGAACTCCCAGGCTGCAGTTTGTCCTGCTGCATTTACAAAAAACGAGTACTGCCCAGGTCCTGGAGTCCGACAGCCTTTGGCGAGGCATCGGGTTCTCTTACTAATTAGATTTCATGACATGTCTCCTCCTAGATAGTCGAACACCTAGGAACATCCAAAACGCTTTTTGAAAAGTCAAAGTAAATTAACTTCCCCCCTGAAAATGTAATAGGGAATAAAGGAAGTCTTCCAAAATCAAATCTGGACACAGACGAGTGTTTGTATCGAACACCTGTATTTACAGCGTCATTGTAAGATTTTTGTTTCTTAATAAAAGACACGTTAAAGGAAAGTCACCTTTACATTCTATAAAATTCTCTACCTCTAAGTGGTAAAAGAGGCCACGGAAACACAAATAGAAGTACGCAAGCATTTCAACATTCTGTCTGCTCCCTGCTGAGATGGTTGTATTAAATAAGATGCTTTGCAAAACTTAAATGTTACGTCGAAAAGCCCTCCAGGAGGCAGGCGAGGCTTTGCGCTTTACAGATTCTAGGGGTCGGACCCAGGGAGAAGTTGTTCCCAGACTCATCTCTAAAGCGGGAATATTGACTTCGCCATCGTTTTCCAGCTTCCCAGGACAGTGGCCGCTGCGCAAAGAGGTGTCTCCTAGCAAAACGCAGAGGCGGATCGCTTTGTGAGCGCCACTCTCCGCAGCCTCTGGGCAGTCGCCCGGCGCCCGCCCCCTGCCCGGCCTCACTCACCCCTCCTCCTAGAGTACGTTTAGGCACGTGCTCATGACTCTTGCCAGGCGAGGACCCCTCCCCTTACACTTTTCTTAGTAGGTCCCCATCTCTTGCCCATTCGTAGGCAGCCGGCAGCCGCTACATCTGAAGAGTTCTATCCTTCCTTTTTTAAAACAAAAACAGCAGGAGGGAAAAAGGGAAGGCTGGAGATTTAACTCCAACTTCAGAGCAATCGTCTCTCCGGCTGCCCATCTGACACCAGTGGGTGGGGTGCAATCTGACACTTCCTTTCCTTTCCAGAAACGTGAGTGGAGCTGGCGCGCCCCTTGATCTGGGGGAGGGGAGACGGGGCAGAAGGTCCGCACTTCCGTCCTCACGACTTTCTCCCCTGGAGACCCGGTATCGGTGGCCAGCTGCCCTCCCTCAGCGCTGCTCCCAGGTTTGGCGCCCGGAAAACTCCTTCACGTTCTGCTTTCTCCTCGGGCTCCTGGCTCAGCCCCGGAGTTCCTCCGGCCCTACTCGTCCCGGCCACCCCTTTCCCGCTGCCTCTAGCGCCAGCGGTGCGGGGACATCCTCTCCGGTGGAACATGGGCACCCGCCCCTGGGACTCTCTCCTGAGCTCTCTCCTTCACGAATAGTGCTGAGCGCAGTCGGGAATTCTCTCCCACCGTAGTTTCTCAGCCTTGGAAGGCCCTGGGCACAGCGCGCTCAGTGTCCCCAACTTTGCAGCAAGCAGAGGCCCCGAGGGAACCTTGAACTCAGAGACACCCTTGAGCCTCGCCAGTCGGAAGAGTGGGCGCAGCGGCCCAGCGGAGGCCAGACGCGCAGCCTCAGGCTCTGGGGCACAGCGAGGGTGCACCGAGGGCGCAGCTCGAGCGCCTAGCTCGGGCGCGGGAGGAAGTTCCTCTCGCGGCACGGGGAGCGTGGTGGACGCGCCCTGGGCGCACGCCCAGGCAGCCTCCTCCCCAGCCCTCGGGACTGTCCTCAGGCCGCGAGGAGGAGCTTGCCGGAGACTTCGAGGCTATCCAGAGCCAGCAAGCGCGAGCGCGGCGTCTCCCGCCTCAGCTGGGAAGGGGGAGTGGCGCTGGCGGGCTGGAGCTGGGAACCAAGCTAGCGCCTGACCTTCCTCCTCCTCTTCCTTACCCTCTTCGCGACTTGGGCTCTGGGGGAAGGTTCTAGCGGCTGCGGGAGCCCCCGGGACTCCTTTTCCTAGAAGGCTGGTGATGGATCTCCTGCTTCTGCGTCCGCCGGGGCACTTGGAGCGCACTGGCGGTGCGTGAGCTGGGCATTGCCCTCAACCTCCCTCAGCGAACACCGGGCCGGCCCCGCCCGGCAGCTTTGCCCGAGCCCCTTTCCTTTTCCGACCCAAAGCCGCCAGCGTTCCGGAAGGGAGAAGAAGGTGGTCCTCGGGCACAGCCCCTCCGAGATGTCGGCGCAGAGCCTTCTCCACAGCGTCTTCTCCTGCTCCTCGCCCGCCTCGGGCGGCCCGGCCTCGGCCAAGGGCTTCTCCAAGAGGAAACTGCGCCAGACCCGCAGCCTGGACCCGGCCCTCATCGGCGGCTGCGGGGGCGAGGCGGGCGCAGAAGGCGGCGCTCGAGGGGCCACTTCGGGCCGCCTCTACTCCCCACCACCCCCAGCCCAAGGTCTTGGCCCACGCTCAGCGTCTTCTCCCCGGGGCCCGCCCCCCCGGGCCACCCGGCCCCCGCCGCCCAGACCCCTTTGCTCGTCCTTCTCTACACCCAGCACCCCGCAGGAGAAGTCACCATCTGGCAGCTTCCACTTTGACTATGAGGTTCCCTTGGGTCGCAGCGGCCTCAAGAAGAGCATGGCCTGGGACCTGCCATCTGTCCTGGCTGGGCCGGGCAGTGGCCGCAGCGCTGCAAGCATCCTCTGCTCCTCCGGGGGAGGTCCCAATGGCATCTTCGCTTCTCCCAGGAGGTGGCTCCAGCAGAGGAAGTTCCAGCCCTCGCCCAACAGCCGTGGCCAACCCTACGTCGTGTGGAAGTTGGAGGTAGGGACCAGTGCGCATACTCTCAGCCCAAGGCTGGGCGCCCCGGGCACTTCCAGGGGGACGTCTTTAATTCCATGACATTTACAGAGCCAGGCACCGGCTGAGGGGTTTCCAAGGTGTGGCTGTTCCACTTCTGCTGATTAAATGGTGCCTGGAAATGGGATGTCCCTAGTGGCCACCGCGTGTGTGTCTTGCAGGACTTGTTGGCTCCATTATGGAGCAGTGGTGGGAGCTGGAGGAAGAGATGATGTTTGTGCTGCAGGCAATTTCAAAGGGTCACTTTATCCGTTCATCCAATGTTGATACTTTACAGAACTCAAATGATCTATTGCTAAGCTGTTTGTAACGATTGGATGAAATATATTTTGAAACATGTCTGCCATTTGGTTGTTCTACAGAAAATTCAGGAACATTATTCCAGAGGGTGTTATAGTGTGTGTGTGTGTGTGTGTGTATGTGTGTGTGTTTGGGTGGCAAGGGGAGTAACTACTAGACTTCTCTAGTTTTGACCTCTTCTTTTCCCTAAAGGGGTAATTTCAGAAATCTATGGTACTGAGTATTAGTTTGACCTAGGAGAAAAAAAAAAGTCTCTGCTTGGGGATATGAAAGATCATGGAAATATGCCCAAATTCCAAAAATAGAGTCTCACCCATACTACCAAAGAGGAAGTAATTAGAGTGAGACAGCTTCAAACAGGAAATTGACGAAAGGTGTTTTAGGAATTGTCTGAAATCGGCATAATGCCTTAAGATTTTTTAAGTATGGAAAAATATTCAACTTTGATTCTCTCTCTCTCAGAGTATCTCTCTGCTAGAATTCCTTTTCCACAAACTCTATAGGTTTGCCTTGGATCTGTTTCCATAAGGGAAGAGAGATTCCATCAGTTGTAATTAAATATTTTAAAGTACAGTTAGCATTACAGAAATGAAATGAAATACCATGTAATTGCTGGAGATTTAGGCTAAATACACAACCAAGGAAAACTGATTCAACATAGCATCCAAGATCATACCCAGCTCTGTTAACATGAAATAACTTTTAGATTTTGGCTTGAATAGACAGCCTTAAAAAAATAAGCATTATTTGTCGGAAATATTAGCATCATATATTATTAATGTTAGTTACTGTCTCAAAGTAACTGCTGCTGTTGGGTGAGGGGTATGGATTACAAAAAACTAACAAATGTTGCTAACTATTCTGCCCATTTTCTTGAGGAAGATAGGCAGTAGAAAGAAAAGTTGAGGCAGAGAGCAAGAGGTTACCTCCAAACCGGGGAACTCAGGATTGGAAAGAGGATAGAAAATTGAAACATCAAACTTCTTTTGGTCTCAAGGAGGGGCTGGATTGCCACTATATTTCAGAAGCATACATTATCAGATTAATCTGTAAGAGTTGAGAGAGAGAGAAATGTAAAAGCAAGCCAACTTTTTTGATTATGTAGCCACTGAAATTCACATTTAAAACCAATTGCATCATTTGGAATATTCCTGCTTTTCTTAACGACCATATACATATTTGGAATGTAGTATACAGCTGCTGTTCATAGCTGTTATGACCAAAAGGCATTTGACTTTAAATGATCCTACTTGTTGCAAATTATCTTCTTATCCTTAAAGATCTCATGATCAATGGACAGGTGTCCGAACTGCAGCAATACTAGGTGGCTTCTAACTGTTCTATATAGTGGGTAGTCTGCACGAAGCTCATCTACCATGACTTTTACCTTTTTGCAATGGTCAAAACTAAGTACATAGCCATCTAGCAAAAGAACAAAATTTTCTCATAAAATGTGTGTGTGTGTGTGTGTGTGTGTGTGTATGTGTGTTGGGATTGGGGTGGAAATCCCTTTATGCTTGAGGCAGACATGGAGTGATTGAATAGATTCCTGGCATGTAGGTCCAACACTCGTTTAGTTTAGTAAAGGCCAAGATATCCTAACATAACCCCTGGGTCTGGAATTTAATGGCTTGGATTACCTTTCAAAGGTTTAACGCCCTGGAACCCTCTCAAAAACCAAGAAAATTCATCCTATTGGGCACTGCTTGTCCTTCTCGCTTGCAAGCAAGCTGGGTCCTTAGTCCTAAAACAGAATCTTTACTAACAATACCAAAAGTCCAGCAAATAAGTACTTGCAAGGTTGCTTAGAGGCTCTGGAGGGGAGATCTGGTTCATATAGATTTGGTTCTTGAACTTTTCCTGATTCAAGATTCCATGTACCTCTTATAGTTTGTTCAAATTTTCTATTTCTTTTCCATTGACTCCACAGGAAAACCTGAGAATTCACCTTCAGGTTTAGCCATTGATGGGTCACATCCATTCTCTGGTTTTAAACCAAATTGTTCATACCAGAGCTTCTGGTATGAAGCTCCCAAGAGTCTGACATATGCCTGCAGCTTTATTACTTGTGCTCACTCAAAGCTCACAAATGGCCATTTTGTGGTGTAAACCCGGGAGGTATTAGGCAAAGTCAGCTACAACACTGTTAGTATTTCCTCACTGTGCATTTCAAGATTGCTTTAACAAAACCTGATTCGTGGACATCTTATTTCTACTCATACCTATGGAGTAGAAGAAATGAGGAGAAGACAGAGGGGTAAATGGTACATGCTGACACAGTTGAGGCATGTTTCTCAACTTGTGTCCTTGGCAGCCAAGCTCTGCCCCTGTCTCTCATCACAGATAAGGGAATAAGGTCTTGTTTCAATCCTAGGCTTCTCCTAATTCTTGTGGATCAGAGCTGGGATTATGCCCATAGCTGTCCTGGAGTTTGCCAGCTTCTGTAACCCATAATTAAAATGTTTCTATATATCCATGACTTCTATACTTTTTTCAATCATGTCACAAACATTTCTTGAGCATAAGCATTTCTGTAGGTACCAGGAATGCAGAGAGGCTAAAATACAGGGTCTTCCCTTGAAGAGCTCACAGTCTAATGAGGGCTGGATGAGTCAACTGAAAGGCACAGTGCAGAAGGATTATCACAATGTGGTGGTGGGGGGCAGGTGATGATTCGTTGTGCTTTGGGGTGCCTTGGAAGTCTTCACTGTGCAGAGAACATTTGCACTTTTGCACTTGATCTTCAAGGATGACTACCATTTACAAGGAGAAAAAGGAAAGTGATTCCTTGATGAGAGAGAAAGGAGTGGACAGACAAAGGCGCAGAGGTGTTGGTGATGCCAGAGTTCCGAACAAAGAAGACTTAGGGGGGTTTAAGCGCAATAATTTGTTTGCAGGGGGAGGTTAGGACACGTGCAGTTTAATATATGTAGCAACCACATGGCTTTTTATGTAGTAACCTAATGAAATCAGAAATCAGACTCATCGTGAGGGAGGTAATTATAGACATGGATAAAAATGACAGGCAGGCCAAAGCATAGTCCCCATCCTCCAAGGAGCCCCTTGGCATCACAGCTGCAGAGAGGTGAAAGGATACAGAGTGTTTCCGAAGTGAGAAGTTTGGTGTGCCTGGAGCAGAGGTGTATCTCTCTGTGTGTATTGTATATGCTATACATGTGTCAGTGCATACACTGGGGTTATGCACCAGTGTTCAACAGGTAGGGTGGTGCTAATTACGAAGAGCCCCACTGTGCAGTTCTTAGGAGTTTTCTTCTTCTTACCTGGTATATGTCAGCCAAGGCTTTGAATTAGGGAAAAAAAGAACGTCTTTAGAAAGGTATTGAGGATATGAAAAAAACACAGGGTGTCTAAATATATCTGTAGGGAAGAATTGAATGGTAAATATATAATGATGGAAACTGGAATTAAATTTTCAAATGTGGCAGAGAGGAATATTGTCATTAAAAATAGAGTCTCACCCATACTACCAAAGAGGAAGTAATTAGAGTGAGACAGCTTCAAACAGGAAATTGACGAAAGGTGTTTTAGGAATTGTCTGCAATTGGCATAATGCCTTAAGATTTTTTAAGTATGGAAAAATATTCAACTTTGATTCTCTCTCTCTCAGAGTATCTCTCTGCTAGAATTCCTTTCAAAGGTAATTTTTAACTTAAATAGGGAATAATGTGATGACAACTTCTCAGAGTCCTTGGAATTGAGCTTTCAGCAGCATTTTGGGATTTGAGGGTGGAAAGAGCAAATTTTAGACTCAGTGAGGACCTTAGGTAGCATCTAGCTTGGAACTCCTTATTTTGCATTTAAAGAGAGGGACTGAAAAGCTTAAGTGGCTCAAACTCAGACAAAGAGTAGAGGGCAGAACCACCCTGAAACCCTTCTTGACTCTCAATATAAACTGCCAAACTTCTGGGAAAAGTAAGCAACCACGACTACTTCCATTCTCCAGTGAGGGCCTTAAACCCTGGCAATCTCTTTTCTATCCCCATTGCTTACTGAAACCATTTTCTCAAAGCTCCTTTGATTCCAAGAATCTTCTTAGACTCCTCTGGCCAGACTTCTGGGAAAAACTGAGAGCACCATTCCCCCTCCCCGCTCCTCCTTTCCCCACCACACACAGAGAATCTCAATTCCTTCCTCACCTCTAATGTCTGTCTCTTCCTGCTCCTCCCTCTGTTTCCAGGCTTGTCTTTGTCCTGCCATCCTCAAAATTCTGTGTTTTACTTTCAGGTCATTCTCCCTTAATTATCTCATTCACTTTTGTGACCTCAACCATCATTCTTCTGTGGGAGACTCCTTGCTCTGTGGCTAGCTGGGGTCTTGTGCTTGAGCTTCCAACATATATTTTCTGATTTTCTACTAGATATCTATCTGCTCACAAATGCCCACTGGACTCACACTCTACATGTCTGAAGCAGAAGTCAGCTTGCCTTTCCTCTGAGCATGTTTCGTTTTATACATTCCTTATTTTGGTTGGTATCACTATTCATCTTCTGGCTTAGGTTTACCAGGCCAGAATGTCTTCAGTGTTGCCCCTTTTTTCTTTCTCTTCTCATCTCAAATAAATTGTCAAATGGGAAGTATCATTTACTTTTACATTTGATCCCTTCTAGAAAGGATTTGAATTGGAATGTATCTGAGTTCTTACATCTCTCTCCAGCTGTTTATTGTCATTGCCACTGCCTAGTTTGGTTCCTCATTTGCGGTGGCCCTGTGCTTAGTTGCCC